CTTTTTAACTTTGCAACCCAGATGTAGGAAATGACCAGGTTGAGCCCGAGGGAGAGGTCAAATGCATCATAAGTCTTGAGATCCTTCATGCCCACAACATGTAAGTCTAGCCCTGGACAGAAATCCAGGTATGACAGAAAAAGCACAGCCAAGTGCCATTAGCATATTAGTGTTCATTATTATTCAATACATAAATAGGTTCATAAATAGTGAATTATGTGTTTTGTGAACCTCTTTTGCAATTTGGACAACAAATCATGGTACAGTAAAATGTGATTTAAACAATATGAATATTGATGTAGTAAACCCACTTTGTTTATCAAAATCATATATGCATACATTAAAAATGTATGTTTTCATGAAATGAGTAGGCAAACCAAACTTGCAAAAATAAGATCTACCTGTTTATGGACACTAAAAATGACAATACATTTCCCAGTTTCATATAAGACTGCTGAAGATTGTTGGAATTATTTTTAATTAGGTAAAACAAACAACTGCAGACAACTCTGTTGCTAAAAACATTTCAACCTGTGGGATTTCTGCACAAATGTGTGGGAGGAAAAATAAAATGAGTAACCAGAGAATTTAAGATCCAAAGCAGGCAAGGGCATTGAAGGACCAGATATTTAGCTAGTGTAAACACTTTGCTTGATCAGTATTTAAACCAACATTTCAATAGCCCTGGCCAGATTGTTTTGGGGTGGGGATGTTCAACATTAGTACTCTGGTAAGCCATTTTGCCACTTACCAGGCTGGTTCTATCTGCAGAAGAAAAGCCTTTGCACATGGAATTACATACACAAAGACTTTCTCCCTACAGATCTCTTAGAGTTCTTGGGGTAGGATTGGAGAGGTGAGCCTTAAGTGGAAGATTCAGGGGATCTCTCTCTCTCTCTCTCTCTCTCTCTCTCTCTCTCTCTCTCTCTCTCTCTCTCTCTCTCTCTCTCTCTGTGTGTGTGTGTGTGTGTGTGTGTGTGTGTGTGCGCGCGCGTGTTATTTAAGTATTAAGCTTACATACTTGTTATTTTGACAAAACAATAAATAATTTTGATAATTTAAAAACCTGCTTGGGAGACCTAAAAAGGAAAGGGATATGCCATTGTCTAGTCATACCCTAATGCTAATAACTTCAGCAGGCTGCTGGAATGAACAGCCAAAGATGTATATGGTTAGATTTCCCCCCCACCAAACTGAAGACCTTGCTAAATAAATATACCTAGGCATGGCTCTGGGAGGGAGGGTTAGAGTATATCATAATATGAAGGTTAATATCTCAGGGGCTGCCATAAAGAAGAGGGAGTCAAGCTATTTTCCAAAGCGCCTGGAGGCAGGACAAGAAGCAACGGGTGGAAACTAATCAAGGGTTGAAGCAATCTAGAACTAAGGAGAAACTTCCTGACAGTGAGAACAATTAACCAGTGGAACAACCTGCCTCCAGAAGCGGTGAATGCTCCAACACTGGAAGTTTTTAAGAAGAGACTGGACAGCCATTTGTCCGAAATGGTATAGGGTTTCCTGCCTAAGCAGGGGGTTAGACTAGATGACCTTCAAGGTCCCTTCCAACTTTACTATTATTATTATTATTATTATTATTATTATTATTATTATTATTATTATTATTACTGAATGAAAAGGAGCTATAGGAGAAACTGGAACAGAAGACAAAACAATCTGGTAATATTAGTTCTATACTCTGTTGATCCGTTTACTCCACGGTGTCAAACTTGCTGCATTATGTGACGTGTTGCGACATATCACGACTTTTTTCGCATTGTTGGAGCTGGGGTATGCCCGGCATGATGCAACCAGCCCAGGATCCGGCAGTTTGACACCCCTGGTTTACTCCAAAGTGGTTGTCTCTATCTGGGTCATACTGAAAGTCCTATCATCTCCCAGAGAAAGAATCTGATGGAAGCATTTTCATTCATCCATACACCAGAGGTGATTTTACTTAATTAGGATGTTACATGAAAACACTTTCGCAATATGACAGCAGTTATCATTCTCCTGATATCTCAATTCAGGAAAGTGGGAAGCAGGCTTCAGTATTTATGTGAACTCAATAATCACGACCTGCACCAAAGCATCATTTTCTGCAATACAACCACAATAGAGAGTTGTCTGTGCTACTTTGTGAGATGATGAAACATTTTTTTTTCTTAATTGAATCCGGCCTAGGAAGAAATCTACAGGTCCTAGCAGAACAAACAATTTTGGATAATCAAAGTTGAGAATGATTTATGCCAGTGCAGCTTTCCTATATAAAGTCCCCTGGCCATGGGTACCAGCAAGAGCCAGAGTGACAATCTGGCAATGGAAATTTGATATAGCTCTCCAGATAGAGGAGGGCAAATTAGGTAATCAGTACTGGAAACGTTTCCTCCAGCAAATTCCCTTTCAGTACTGGTAGTCCCCAATTCAAATATCAGTTCCGTTCCCAACTCTGTCGTTAAGTAAAATTGGTATGTAAGGCAGAGCAGTATTTCTGTATAATGCTATATAGGTAGTATTGTATATTAATCTTGAACCATTGTGTATTTAATCTGAATAATTGTGATTTTTTTCTACAATTGGCTCCATTCTTTACTAGGTTATTCTTAAACAGGGGCATTCTTAACCCAGGGACTTCCTGTATTACTGCCCATAGCATATTTGAGCTTTTTCTCAGCACACTTTAATGGGCTAATTAGTGATACAGTATTAGAAGGAAGGTCTAAAAATATAATACTCTTTTTACAGAGTAAACTACCCCATGACCTGGAGGAATTTGGAATGCTAGAGCATGTATTCCTTTGATGTTCTTTTTATAGCAACTTGCATCCTATCACATAACTCTGTTTACTAATAGAAGTTCCACTTTGAAGATATTCTCAGTTGCTTTTTACTATTAGACCAGAACCCTAACTCTGGGAGAGTAGCAAAATTTCTTTCAGCTACCATTCCCTTACATAGGAAAACACTCTAATTTTAGGATATACAAAATATAAATAAATAAATATGCAAAATATAAATACAAATAAATCAGAAATATACATCTTTTTCATGCTTCCTATGTTGTTTCATATTTTTATGTCTCTCTGTTACATTTCACTGGTCCCTGATTACAATCAAGATAGAGTGATAAACAAATCTACATTTACTCTACAGTTGAGTAATTTACAATTTAGTATTTTATTTTCAAAATAGTTCTGTAATTTTGTCAATTTGTTTTAAGTATTTACATTTGTTGTATTTTCCTACTAGTATTTAAAATATTTTGTAGTTTGAATGTTTTATTTAATTCTGTTAATTATCTAGAAAAGCTTCATGTATCTAAATCTGAGCTCAGTACCCTTTTTACAAAAATTACATAAAAAGCTTTCCAGTGACCACAATAAAAATATTACAATAGTATAAATTAATTAATAAATCTTTCTATATAGTTAATCCTCCATTTTCTATTGCATTACTAATTGCAGTTTAATAGCAAACTTTGGAAGAGCTTTGGGGGATACAGTCAAGGTTGAAGAGAATATGCAACCCCATCTAAACATCATCTCTTTTGATAGTGTGAAATGTAGTCTTCTTATTCTAGACTAGATCAGGAATTCTGGGAGTTGAAGTCCACAGGTCTTAAAGTGGTCATAGTTGCCCACCCTTGTTTTAGACCCAAACATTCTATGTATAATTTTGAACCATTGCTTTGTGAACGGGTCACAAAATTCTCACCATTTTCCAAGCATGTTGCTACTTATTTCACTGGAAATGGTTCACTAACATAAAATGAAGAACTTTCTCACACAGTATATCAAGCTGCAATATGGATTTTACTTCATTATTTTTTATAATACATAAACTGCTAAGATTGAAATATAAAAAAAAATGAGTGTCAAGAGTTATTCGCTTTTCACCTAGTTTCTTCTCTGCTCTCAACTTGAAAACAATAGGGGTGATGGTGGTTGAATCATCTGGGATGGGAATGGAATGCCAAGAATCCATCTGCAGATTGTGAGGCCCTGCTCCCCCCTTCAAGAACATACTGTGCAGGTGTTTGAATGATCCAGACAGTTCCCATAACAAAGACAGTAGGTGATTGGACAACACAATGGACTAAGGGGAGTGCCCAAAGGAGGAATTCATGTTTAATTATACAGATCTTTGAGCAGGAAATTCAGAGCTGGTTTTGCTTCTTTTGTGCCAATGTAGTGTATGTAGTGTATTCAATAAAAGTATTATTGTTGGAAAGAACAATGTCCCAGGAGTTCCTTTCTTAGATTCGCTAGCTGGACATCAGACAATTAGGTCACACTTGTAAGATGTCAACATTGTTTTCACAGCAGTGGGATGCTACTTGGTGAAATGAGTTTTTCTTTCAGGAAAATGTTTTAGCAACTGGCTTGAGTATATAGTTTTCTTTCCCTTTCCCAACTCCTTTCACTTGGATAAACCGAATGTGCACTGTCTTTATCAAATCAGTGTGGCATTTGACTTAATCTCCCCAGTTAAATCAAAATTGATCCAATGATTTTGACCTAGTTAATGAGATCATGAAAGGACCAATACAGGTAGTCCTCGATGTTCAACCACAATTGAGTCCCAAATTTATGTGACAAGTGAGAACTTGTTAAGTAGGTTTTGCCCCATTTTACGACCTTTCTAGCCACAGTTGTTAAATGAATCATTGCAGTTAAGTTAGTAACACGGTTGTTAAGTGAATCTGGTTTCCCCATTGACTTTGCTTGTCAGAAGGTCGCAAAAGCTGTTCACATGACCTCAGTGATGGTCATAAACATGAACCAGTTGCCAAGCATCCAAATGTTGATTACATGCCATGGGAATGCTGCAAGGGTCATAAGTGTGAAAAATGGGCATAAGTCACTTTTTTCAGTGCTGTTGTAACTTTGAGCAGTTACTAAACAAACTGTTGTAAGTCGAGGATTACCTGTACAAATAAAATTATTGCATTTGTACAAAATGAGATGAAAAATAAATGCACACATATATGTATATATATATATAGGTATCTTTATTTGTATAAAGTTTTTATTTTCAACATACTTGCTTAGATTTTCTTTCATAATAAAACTATGTACCTTGAATGCCGTTTTCATCCTAAGAAAAAGAGCACTCTATCCTTTTTGTGCAAATAAAAAAATATGTGTTCTGGAATGCTAATGTCATAAAATGGTTGTTTCAAGAGATTCGGCTTTCAAGCAGTCCCCTGAAGAAGTTTTTGCCTGTTCCTGAAAACAGGAAGAGTTCTGCTCCGTCAAGCCTTTGAAGTCCTGAGAATGACAACTACACAAAGTTATACTGTCATGCCTTCTGTTCCGTAAACTGCCTGAAAACCATGGCAGATCACTTCTGATGCTCTTGAACAACAGAGTTGATGAAAACCAGTTGAGCAAGCTGAAATCTGATCCATCTACTCTTGTACTCCATTGTACTGTGTCATCAACATTCATCAACGTTGGCTCTAGATCAAAAGCACTTTTTTGAAAACCCAAAGATGGTTCACCTTTATCATCAACTACTGAAAGATGTCCATTTTCCTCACAAAATTGAGCATCAAGAGGAGAAACAAGAGTATTTAAATCTGTTGAACACCCTGGTTTTGGCATCTGAGATAGCTCCTTTTTTTGTTGACATAATTCTGTTGGGTTATTGTGGTTACAGGTCCTTGAAAAACCACTAGTAATGAAATATGGGCTTTCAGGAGAATAACCAGTATTTTGATAAATTTGGGAATTGGTGTCCCTTTTGGTGGCCCACTTGTTTAAAAGCTGGTTGTGGGAGCCTGGAAGCAATCTGGACAACTGGCGTCCAAGTTGAAGCTGGGTTGGGAAAAGTGTGCCTTGAAGTATTCTGTAGAGAAATCTGATGGAGAGAAGTGAAGGAATTAAAAATGAATGCATCAAAAGAATATTGTACCAATTTAAACCTGAATGAAATAACAAGGGTGATAGCTGTCAACATCATTAGGTAGAGCAGCCCAGGATATCAACTCCACCTGAAGGCTTTATTAAACTTGGTTACAATAATAACATCTTTCAAGTTCAATTGTACTGTACTTCCTCTTCTTCTTAAATTTCAATGAATTAGGGACACATCTGTATAAGCTAATTCCAAATGTTAACTTGTTCTTGACTTAAAAAAAATGCTTCAACCTGTTGCTCAGATTCCTGCATATCTTCATCAAGGTAATTTTCCTTACTCTATACATCCATCGCCTCTTTTGGTCTTACCCTCCCAGTGTGTCAGAAAATTCTTGTCCAGGTTCATGGGAACGAACTGCAAATTCACTGTTCTCTTTTGCTGGCAACTCCCCTAGAAGTCCTGCAAAGAGGCTGTACAAGGAGACTTTTACTTGTCAGCATAACTTTTTGCTGTGGTTTACTTGATGTTCACTTTCCATATTTATTATGGCCAGTGGCAGGAAAAATAAAGTCACTGATTTATTTGGCTTTGTCACCTCTATATTCTGATTATTGTAGCATATGCACTTTTCTTTCCCCATAGGAATATTGCTCACAAACAATATGTAGAAAAGAAAAAATGCTTTACGTTAACTCTCTAAGTGATGCCCACAAGAAAAAAAAAAGATACTCTACCTGGGAAGCAAAGCCACAATGGGTGAAATAAGACAAGTCAGATAAAACACCGGTTCTCCCATCAGCTTCTCCATAGTCCAGTAGGGATTTGATGGAGGATAGCATATTGGGCACGAAATATTATAAATGAGCGCCACAATGAAGAATAAAGCAATGCTGAAGACACATGATGACAAATGTAGCCAGGTCTGAAAGAAACATATTACAATTATTTTGCAATTCTGTACTTTACTGGTATTGTGTGTTCAGACAAAATGGAAAACTAGTATTTTTCTAAAAGGTTCAAGAGGATGGAGTAAGTTCAAGAGAAAATATTCACTACACCAAGGTTGAAATCTACACCAAGAGAGAAATGTAAGGAAATCTGAGTAGATTTCTGCAAGAATTTTGTAACCACAATGGAATCAGTAAAATGGTGTTGCCAAACTGGACATTTCCATTGTAGGAGGATTTTCATGACCAAGTAGATCAGTAAATACAACCTCAGAGAAAAAGCAAGTCTTTGAGTAAATGAGCATTCCTACCTGTTTTGCTACAAGGCACTACTTAGTCAGCATCTCACTTTGGATGATTCCTGCAATATCACCACAACCTAGTCATGGATAGACTCACTTTGGACGCATGGATTCGGCAATTATCAGCACCTTATAGAATACTTTTTAAAAAACCTCCCTCTTACAGTTTGTCAATATATTATGTGAACGGAAAGCTTAAATTTTTAAAAACATGTTCTTGGTTGAAAGATTTTGTTTTAGTCTCCTAATAAATTTGCATTTACCAGCAAATATAATTTTTACCAATTGATAAAAATTGATCATATTGTGACATTTTCAGGTGCTTAATTGGATACACTCAGTTATTACACAGAACTTATCTCTAAAGGCTCAAAGGTTACCTTCCCCTGTTAAAAATGTCCTATTGAAGTATATTCATGTTTTTCCTTTGAGTAGGAGTTAGTGTAGACACACTAAAAATAAAAATGTATTCTCCAGTCTATACAGATAGATTCCTATAGTACATGCTATTCAAAGCTATGCATACTCGTCCATATTAGGTAGATAATTATATAAATTTCACATCTGTCTTCTAGCAGAAGTTTGAATTTATTCCCTTTATTTTAATGGATCCTTGCGTCACTTTTTTTTCTTGTTTGAATTTTTAAAATGTATGGGCTGAAGACAGCAACAAAGTTTTGCTAGCATTGTGAGGGTTTCTTGAGTACTGTAATAGCTAAGCAAAGCACAGAAAAACAAACAGCATTTGCCTAAATGTATGTCTAGAAAAATCTATGAAGAAAACCCCAAAATCTCTTCCCGGCCTTTTGAGTTGGTAGCTGTAGTGTTGGTAGATATTGTTTTATACATTGTTATTCTGATGCAGAAGCCATTTCATGTATTCCAACCATATATTGCCCACTGGTATGCTTATAGGGGAATTCTGAGAGCGAAGAACAATAATGTGTTGATGTCAGTAGGGATGGAGGAAAAATTAATCTGGATTATTATATAAAATTATCCAAGTGGATCCTCCTGAACTAAAAAAAGAAAATGTGACAAAACCACACTGTTCTAAATTATCTTTGTATTAAGTAAAAAATGTGTTAAACTAAGATTTACAATATTTGCAAAAATATGGCAATAGCAATAGACAAATATATAGAGGACTCACACCTGACCCACTGATGACTAACACCGTCCAATGACTCTGACCTGAAGTAACCTCCCCATCACAAGACCCATCACAAGCCTCTCTCTGATGACTCACACCTGACCCATCACAAGACCCTCTCTTGACTCACCCACACTTGAAGCCCTTATAAACAGAAGAGCACTGACATAGACATCTCCTAAATGCTGCTGAAGATGTTACCTAGCCTGGTAATGAAATGTTCAGAAACCAACCCACAAGCTCAGAGAATGAACCTGCACCCTCATATAGACAAATATATGGAGATGAGACCAATTCCAACTGCTAGTGATCGCCTATCAAGACCTACAGTAGATGGCTTGGTTCTCAGTTTCCTTAGGGTACATCTTGTCCAGGTGGAATGTAAGAGGTTAGGTTCCTGCCCCCAAGAGAGATCAAAGAGCATGAAGTTGGAGATAATCCTTCTTGTAATGTTTCAGCTAGTACTTTGTAAAATCTTACCAGAGACATATCAGGTGTCCTGCTTATTGGCTTTGTATGGAATTGTTAGTTCCATTTTAGCAGATGATAAGAGATTAATTCTTTGTTGAGGTTTATTCTTTCTGATGCTATTTTTTACATATATAAACTCTTGGGAACTGAATGACATGGGTATTTTTATAAATAAACTAGACAACTTGTGACCCGTTGAATCATTGTTTCAGAGATATCCCCTAAACAGAGAAACAGAATGATCCTGTGTGGGCAAAAAAGCACTGGGAGTGACTTCCAACTTCCTGGGGGCTTTCCCATTGACTTTCCTTTTGGGAAACTGGTGGGGAATGTTTTAAATGATGGTCATATGACTCTGGCTGATGAGGCTGTGCCACGGCATTGAAGTGGACACACTTTTGTCAAATTTCAATTCCATGGGAGTAATGGATCCCAGATTTTGGCTGCAGTCTTTAAATTAGCCCATTTGCAATATGTTGACTCAAAAATTGTTGCCCTATGATGCAACAATTGAAGGTTATAAAAGACAGGAGAGTTTTAATTGTATATAGATAAGTAAATATGGATAGACTAGAACAAAACATTGAGGTGGGATGCAAGCATGTGTAGAGTCTGTACCTTTGTTTGTTTATCACAAAGCAGGCTCTGTTCAGTTTGTCTATGCACGCAAAGGACAAAACCTGCATTGTGTAAGTGGAATACTGCTTTCATGATCCTTCTCCCCACCATGCCATGGGGGGGGGGGAGGGGAGAATTACTTGTGAGTTACATAGAGAAATAAAAATAATGAAAGTGTGAATGTTGAATCCTTATAAACTGTCCTTATAAGTAATATGCTTTAAAACGTGGTGGTAAATGTTCTTTTGAAAAACATGGGGACCAGTTCATACAGGAGAAGAGGGGATATGAGAAAAAGAAGGGTAGCTCAAAATGCCAGAAGGAGAGAAAAACTGTCAATCTTCAAATGCAGACCAATTGATGGAATTATGGTAGTTAAGTCTTAATTAATAATAATTTATTAAGTTTATATATCTGCCTAAATAATGCTTGTGATGATATAAAATATGTTAAACTGTATCCTCTGTGAATGTTTATGAGATTCAGAGTTTTGAACATTGGTCTGTTTGTGTGTGTGCACATGTGTTGGTGTGCAGGAATCTCAAAATTGAATGCAGCATGTACTTCAATAAGCTATTATTTACATATAAAAGAATGTATGAAATCATTATCTACTGAAGTTTGCTAATAAAATAAAATCTAATTGAAAGGCAACTGTAGAATTATACCTTAAGTGGCAGAGTATAGGTCATGTTTTTGAAGGTAACTTACCCAGGTTTTGGTTTCTATAGCCAAATGGAGTATTATGGTAAAGAGAGCTGCTGTGGTGATAGGAATTCCCCATGAAAATATGTCCACATCTGAATCATAATATATCTAGACAAAATTAAATGAGAATTAAGCACATTTGACAATATAAATCCAGAAGAATATTAACCCAAAGTCCAGAAACTATAAAAACTAGGAACGGGGTGGCAAGTATTTCATAGTTTTTGTTGCTGACACCATCTCTTCCTATTCTAAGTACATGACACCTGAATTTTTGGTGAATGGCATAGGGAACATACAAGCTTCACTGTCAGATGCAAAGAATCATGGCTATTCATAAAGTTGCAGCATAGAAGATTTATCCAAGCCTGTGCACAAGAATCTGGTCAATTAAAGCTCAACATTAAATTGGCACCAGGTAAGGATCAATGGAATTCAGGAGGGGTTAGACTTGGAGCACTTGTGGGAACACAGTGACTCTAAACTAATGGCAAACATAATTCTTTCCCCAGCTCTGCCAGCTTTTCTCCTACATTCATTGGGTGTGCACATAAAGCCATTTTCCAACTGCTGATCCTTATCACCCAATAGCAACAGATTGGGTTATCTGTATCAATAACCCATAATTTTGAATATCTTTTTTGCCTCCACAGCTTCAATAATCAAAGCCATAAATGCCAAACTGACCCTCCCAGCACTTAGTTTCACTTGCATACATTTGCCACGCTTGGCTTCTTTTCCCCATGATTCAAGAACAGAAGGATTGAAGCATGTTTACCACTGATAACTTACAAAGTAAGGGATGAAGAAACAAACCAAGCTTTGATAGAGAGCATCAATCATGTTCATCCAAAACATATGCGGCTGATACTCCTGTAATGGGGGAGGCAGAGAGAGAGCTTTACCTCTGATGAACCACTTCTTGTTAAAAAAAACAAAACTCAGTGATTAAAAGAAGCAGAAGAGTTCGTTTAGGGAATTCATCTAGAAAAGCTGCTGAATATAAATTATATTCTGAGCCAAAGAAGCATTCCCATCCAACCTTTTTGGCAGTTTGACTAACTAAAACCCAGTCCAACATTTTCCAAAAACCCTTCCCTTTCAAACATAGTTAAGTGGACCACACACTTAGCCTCCTCTCCCTCTACTGTCTTATCAAGAGCTACTGGAGGTCCTGACTAAAGGCCACCTGATCAGACTATATTTCCTGAGGCTCATACTGAACATGCTGTCCTACTACCTGGAATAGTAATATAGCTGATATTAAAGAGTTGTAAGAGTAGATCAGGGAGAGTTTGGAGGATCAAAGAAGTCTGAACAGGATGAATGGGTGGAATGGCTCAGAAATATTAGATAGGCTTAGTTTGTGCATAAGGCAATTCCCAGTCTTTCTGGAAGCAGCTCAGATTTCTTTCTTTTTCTAAGCCAGTCTGTCATGAAAAAGAGAAAGGATTATCCATCTCCTGTTCCATGGATAACTCCACTTCAATCCTGACATTACAGGTCAAACTCTGAAGTGACCTGTGATGTATCTCAATTCCTGAATGTGACACCTGTTCTCATAACTGACAGTGACATTAATATGGCGAAGATATTGGATCCAAATGAGTAAGCTGCATTTAGTTCAGGCAGGCAAATGAATTAGGGACTAGCTTCTGTTGATTTCAATAAACATAAAATGGAATTAAAGACTATGGATTTAATGAATCATTTTTAATTATGGTGATTATACATTATATTCCTAGTAGCAGTAGCCATAAGCCTCTCAATAAAATGTTATTTGTTCATGCACAGCTGATCTTATCATCTAGCTATTTGTGCCATTTGACAGTGAGGGTTGGAAACACAACACATAACAGAAATTATTAAAACACATCACCTGGAGGCAACTCACATCAGCATATTAAAAAGGGGTCACATGGCATCCTGACCCAGGTCAAAGTATTTTTAAATGATGACAGGATCCAGGCCATCTGAATCCAAAGACCTCTTCTTGGCTACTCTGGACAACATTTTAGTAACTACTCAGGGACTTGGAAAGTTCTTGTTTTCTTGTGAAACCATTTAGCTATTTTGCAGAACAAGAGCACATACACAATTCATTGTTTGATATTATCCTCTATTTCCAATGTAGAAATCTAGAAATGTATTCTGGCCTCAAGGTTCACTGTATTCTGCTGTCAAAATATACAGTCCTGGGAAGAAAAGGGTACAACTTCTTTCTACCCTGCAGAATTATTTTACTTTTTGGCTACCTATTAAAGTTAGAAAGTTGATATGGCAATATAATGTCCAAGTTCTTTATTAATACATCTAAGTATGCTTAATTTGAACAAGGTTTTCATTACTTCTCCACCCTTGTTACATCAGCTGGTAGCCAACTGGCAGCCCTCCTGGACTCTCAGTGGCTGTCAAAACCATCAATCATGGTATTCTTCTGGACTGACTTTGGGTGCTGGTAGTGATAAGTACTGTTACAATGGTTGTCCTCCTTCCTCTGTGGCCAGTTCCCGTTAGTATTGGCAGTGAAGAGGTTGAATCCTAGGCACCTGCAATGTGAGGTGCCCAAGGGCTTGAGCCTTTTGCCACTCCTTTTTAACATTACACGAAACTACTAGGGGAGGTCATCCTTAAGTATCAGATCTCATATCACCAGTATGTTGATGATACTTAATTATATATCTCCACCCCTAGCCGAACAGTGTTGGCCATGTGCTTAGAATCTGTAAGGGTCTGGATGGTGACCAATTGGTTTTGACTCAACCCTGGCAAGAAAGAGTGGCTATAGCTATGCTCCCCAGGTCCAGATGATATTTCATCATTAACTCTTGATGGGGTAGCACTTCCTTGGACTGAGCTGCTGCACAACTTGGAGGGTCCTCCTGGATCCATGCAGGACCAGGAGGCAGCCATGGTTAGGGACACTTTTGCACAGATTCATCTTCTGCACCCTTTTCTGGACCAGGTGACCTTGGTCACAGTCATTCATGCTCTGGTCTCCTCCCATTTGAGTTACTGCAGTGTGCTCTACATAGGGGTGCCCTTGAAGACTATCTGAAAAATTCAACTAGTCCAGAATGCAGCATTGCACACAGTGATGGGTGTCCCTAGGTTTGCCCATTTAATACCTTTGTTGCCTGAGCTGCCCTGGCTTCCAGTTTCTTTCATGGTGCAATTCAAGGTACTGCTCTTCATCTTTAAAGCCCTATATGGCAGAGGGCCAGATTATTTGCAGGACTTTCTTTCCCTAAGGTAATCTACCCATCCTAACTGGCTAGATAGGATGAGCATGCTTCCTTCCTTTAAGGATTATCATCTGATGGAAGCTAGGAAGTGTGCCTTTTCCATGGTAGCCCCGGCCCCTTTCCCCCTGACTTTTGGCAGGCCACTAGCCTTCCATAAAGCACTAGAGACCTAGCTTTTCCCCTAAATACAGGAATAAAGTGAAGTCACTGCACATCAGAGTCTGATTTGACACTAGATTTTGTTTTTATGCATTTTGTTTTAATAGTTTTAATATGGTTTTGTGTTATTTTAATTTTTGATTGGGAACCACCCAGAGTTTATGATAAAATGAGTGGCTATATAACTATTGTACATAAATAAATAAAAATTATATTGCATTATGTAACATTATGTAACATTATACATTGCAGAGGAATTTTGGATGGGCCTTAATGTTATGCTTTTCAGGAATCATGAAGATCTAGTGGTTTTGCTAAAATTAAAAAAAGATAAGAATGATCTTCACATCACATTTTAGGACCTGAATAATGCAGAAATGAACACATTTTTACCTCCATCTTCTGGCCACTTGTGTAGAGCTGAGGAATAGCAATTAATGTCTCTGCAGGTACATCTTTATCAAGAACTCCAACAATCAATTGAGGAAGAGATGAGAATAATAAGTTAAAGAAGATCAGGTACCATTGATCAATCATTGATGATCCCGAAAATCCACAGTAAAACTGGTACCAGAACAGAAGGGCAACAAACATCTTTAAAAAAAAGAAAAAAGGAAAAGAGCAAAACATGAATTTTTAATATTTGCAAGCAGCATATTTATGTGTAAAATTCTGGTAGGATATCTCCTTTTTCATGAACATATTGAATTTAATAAAATAAGTCTAGTTCTAGATCTTTATCTGACTCAACATATACTGCCCAATCCCTCACCTTTACAGGTAGTCTTTGACTTACGACCACAATTGAGCCCAAAATTTCTATTGCAAAGTGAGACATTTGTTAAGTGAATTTTGCCCCATTTTATTATATTTCTTGCCACAGTTAAGTGAATTACTGCAGTGAATTACTTCCTCCCAGAAGGTAACAAGGAAAACAGGTCGCGAAAAGGATGTGTGGTGTCCCCGACAATTTTGCAGCAACACTTGTATGCTATGTCTTGGATGGAAAGGAGGGAACTGCCAATAATCTTTTCTGCCATCCTCACCACTCTCTGCACCACCTTCCTGTCTGAAGCAGTGATGCTTCCATACCAGACTATAATGCTGTATGACAGGATGCTCTCGATCATCCCTCTGTAGAAAGTGGTAAGGATGGGGGAAGGAAGATGCAGAAAATGCAGGCCCTGCTGTGCCTGCTTCACCAGTGTCTCGCTACTGAGTGACCAAGCCAGCCTACTTGTTAACTGCATACCCAGGAATTTGATGCTGGTAACCATCTTCATAGGTGAATCATTAATGCAGAGAGGACTGTGGCTGTGCCTGCCTTTTCTGAAATCGACAATGATTTCTTTGGTTTTTCCAATGTTTAAAACTAGGCTGTTTTTCTTACACCAGTTCACCAAACCCTCAACCTCCTTGCAGTAAGCATCCTCACTGTCATCTTGAATAAGGCCGACTACTGTTGTATCATCCGCACACTTAACAATATGGTTGGTGGCAAACCTAGCACAGCAGTCATGGGTCAACAGGGTGAACAGCAGCGGACTTAGGACACAGCCCTGAGCTCAAGAAAATGGTGTTAGAAATACAGCTCGCACATACTGGGGCCTGTTAGTAAGAAAATCAAGAATCCAGTTGCACAAAGGAGTGTTTAAGGCTAGAAGGCCCAGTTTATTTACTAGATGCTGGGGAATGATTGTATTAAATGCCAAACTGAAGTTGACAAACAGCATTCGCACATGAGTATTTCTTTCCTCTAAGTTCTCCAAGCTCAGATAGAGAACAGAAGAAATAGCATCCTCTGTGGAGCGATTTGGTCGGTAAGCAAACTGAAGTGGGTCAAATGCTGGTTGGAGGCTAGATACAATAATGTCCTTTATCAGCCTCTCAAAGCATTTCATAATGATGGATGCCAGTGCAACCTGAGGGTAATCATTGAGACCAGTCATTGTGGACTTTTTTTGGTACTGGCAAAATGATGGCTGTCTTAAAACCCGATGGGACCACTGCCTGCTGCAATGAGAGATTGAAAATATCTGTAAGAACACAAGCCAGCTCATCAGCACATTACTTAAGAACCCACCCAGGGATATTATCTGGGCCTGCTGCTTTCTGAATGTTAACTTTCCTCAATGTTTTCCAAACAGAGGTGACATCAAAGTTAAGCACTTGTTCATCCAGATGGGGCACAGCTTTCCTAGCCGGGGTGCTATTTGATGCCCCGAATCTTCCAAAAAATGTATTCAGCTCATTTAGGAAGTCTGTGTCGTCCTTACATCTTGGAGCCTCCTTATAATCTCTAATGGTCTGGATTCCTTGCCACATGCGCCTGGTGTTTGTTGGATCCTGAAAAAAGTTCTGAATTTTCTGACAATGGGCTTGCTTTGCACCTTTTATGGCACTTTTCAAATTAGCTCTGGCTGTTTTAAGTGCCAGCATATCGCTGGATTTAAAAGCTACATTCCGTGCTTTCAGCATCTTGCGGACCTCATACGTCAGCTACACTTTTTCATTCACCCTCACAATAATGCTTTTAAGGACACAGACATCCTCTATGCACGTTTGGATATATGCAGACACCATGGTGGCATACTCCTCCACATGTATATGTTGGTTATCAGTTGCTGTTTCTTTAAACATGCCCCAATCCATGCACTCAAAGTAGTCTTGTAATGCTTCTATAGCTCCCTCTCCCCAAACCCTCACCTGCTTTACTGTAGGTTTCACTCTGACTAATAAAAATTTATATGCTGGAATAAGCAGCACTAAGAGATAGTCAGAGGGGCCCAGGTGAGGGCAGGGGATAGCTTTGAATGCATTCTTGATGTTAGAATAAGCAAGATCCAGTGTATTCTCCCCTCTGGTTGCAAAAGGTGATCACATAATCCCAGGACACTGCAACTGCCATAAATACAAGTCAGTTGCCAAACATCTGAATTTTGACCATGTGACCGTGGGGATGTTGCAATGGTTATAAGTGTGAAAAACAGTCATAAGTCACTTTTTTTCATTGCCATTGTAACTTCAAATGGTCACTAAATGAACTCTTGTAAGTCGAGGACTATCTGTACAGACATTGCCTGTATTTTGGTTCCCTAATGATTGATCTGAAGAGAAAAAGAGGCTCAACTTCCCAACTAATGGGAGAGAGGATAGTTTGTTACTGAAAATGACATTACTTATCTCTTCTTCTTAAGGATCATATAGGAATTTAATCAGACAAAACTAATTTGTTGGGATTTTCTCCACATATATTTCATATTCTACACAACAGTTATTTGTCACCAAAAATATTTCTCATTATATTGATGGGAGAAGAAAAGTTTATTGTGAGTTTACTGATTTCAAGACAGTGAATTGGCTTGTATTATGGTACAGTTTGAATTTGGAGTTGCAGGTTGGTTGTTGAATGTGATAATAATAATAATAATAATAATAATAATAATAATTTAATTTGTACCCCGCCCTTCTCCTCACCGGACTCAGGGCGGCTAACAGCCTTATAAAACCACAATACAATAAATATCTATATTAAAACCAAATTAAAAGAAAATATTTGAAAGGCCAATCATTAAAATTACCCTTAAAATTACCCTTAAAAACCCCACTAAAATTCCCTAGGCCAGACCCGCTTGTTGAAAAAGCCATGTCTTTAGGGCGCGGCGGAAGGAGGGGAGATCCGGGATCACCCGGATCTCTGGGGGTAGTTCGTTCCAGAGGGTGGGGGCTCCCACCGAGAAGGCCCTCCCCCTGGGGGT